CTACCCTGCATGAAGCTGGGCCCAAGAGATTTAATCTTATCTGCATTTCCCCAAAAGTGAATACACTGGAATCAAATCTGGATTTTTGGGAAGTCATCAAAAAAAAAAAAAAATGAAAAAGTCATAGCAACACATTCAGCATTGTAACACCGTCTCTCTGGCACGATCCCAGGCCACATTCTCCTAAATTTTCAGGTGGCACAGAGGCTCCTGCTACAACTGCTACATCTTCCACATATGCCTCTCTTGATGCAAGCAAGACCAAATGCCCCCACCCTTTAGCAGAGATGATGCCTTGTTCCATCATTGACAAAGCTATCTCTAAGAGATGGATTTTATAAGAAAAATTAAATGGATTTTTCAGATTCGGAACATAGACTGTCTGTGATGATCCAAACAGGCAAGGAATGTTTCATGTCTCAGCTGAGAAAGCTACTGTCTCAGTAGGTCATGCAGAAGCTCAAGTTCAAAATATTAATGGGATGGTATGACTATAGACATTTAGCATGTTCATCATCACTACTCCTCATATTCACCCCACCCCCCAACATGCACACATAAAAAGAATCTGCATAAATTTGAAAAATGTCTTGCTACTTCTGGAACAAATTTTATGATGACCTTCATGGCTTAGCTAGATTTTAAGCAATTCACATCTCATGAAAAATAATTAACACATTTTCTCAATTAGACCACTTGAGCCTTCTGAGTGATGACTATAAACTTAGCAAAATTTTAAAATATATTTTAGCTTCCAAATTTTGGCATTTCCCCCCATTTCTTTATTATTATTCAGTAATCCCAGAGATGTAGTCAATTGGTATATAAAATTTTCATTACTCCAGAATATAGGATAATTAATAGAAAAACACATTTTGAGCTCCATTTGTTTATTTTTTTTAACTTGTAGGGAGTGTATTTGCTCATTTATGACATTATTTCTAAAAAAAAAAGAGTATGGGATTTAGTATTAGAAAAATTAGTTTTCAAGGATAGTCTCTTTCTTTCATTAACTACTTCTGTGATACAGGGCAAGTATTTACAAATAATAAGTAGGGAAAGTAATTTTATTTATTGTTCAGAGTTTTTCTATTATCAGCTGAGTTGGGGATATGAAAATTTTATAAACATTAAGCATTAAATTGTTAACATTATTTCTTTCATTCATCAAACACTTATTTAATACAAGCTATATTCCAGATATAGTGTTCAATGCTGCATATAAAAATATGGGTAAGATACATTTTTTACCATGAAGAAACTTATGACCTACTGGAGGAAATAGATGTGTATCAGTGCCAACATCATCATCATCGTTATCCACTGCATACCCACGAGGACTCAGGCTCTGTTTCTGGCCCAAGGAAAAAGTGATGAAGCCAAAAATCCCTGCCCTCTTAGGATTCAGAAAAACAATAAATAATTAAATTAATACATATACCCTTTCAGATAGTGATAAGTGTAATGAAGATAATAAATCAGGATAAGAAGGTAAAGTAATTGGTGCATATTTGTGGTAGGGTGGTCAGAGAAGAACTCTTCGAAGGGGTAACATACAAATTGGGGCACGAATGATTTTGAAGAACACACCATGCAAAGATCTGGCAGAGAGAATAGCAAGTGTAAAAATCCAAAGATGAGTGGGATTGGGATGTTTGAGGAACAAACAACCAGACTAATGCAGGTGGAACAGTGAGGAAGAGTTTGTAGATGAGTGCAAGGACTCCAGAGTGGCCAGATCACTTGTCATGGGCAAAAGTTGAAGGACTTAGTCAGAGGATAGGTTAATAGTCCCATTTGATTTGCAATTTGAACAGATTACTCTGGATGTGGTATGGAACTGAGATGGTAAGATGGCAACAGTGGAAGCAGGAAATGAGTTAGGAGGCTACTTGAGTAGTCCTGGCAACATATACGGTGTCTTGGAGCACAGCAATGATGTAGAGTTGGTAAGATATTTTTAGACTGGGATTTATTTTTAAAATAGAGACCACAGAACTTGTTGATGAATTGGATGTGGGGTATAACAGAAAGAGAAAACATATCAATAATATATTGATTTTTGGCTTAAGTAATACAGACAGCTGTGGTGCCACTTGATAAAGTGAGGAAAAGGGAGGAGCAAATATGAATGGGGACAGAATCAAGAGTTTGCTTGGGGGCATCTTAGGTTAGAGATACCTTTTAGATATTTAAAGGACAATGTCTTGCAGGTGGTAGAGGTGAGAATTTAGAAGGGCTGTAGATACAAACACAAAGTTGTTGCCTGTGGATAGTTGTTGATGTCATGGGTTTAACCGGGTAATCTTGGGATAGAGAATGGAGAAGAGAAGTGGACCAAAGACTGAGCCATGAAGCAATGTAAACTAAGCCTTAGTCAAGAAGAGGAGTGCCTAGTACTGCAAAGTCACATGGCCTATGAGGTAGCAGGAACACCAAGAGAGTATGGTGGCTGGGGGACAGACAAAGAAGGAGAGGTCAACTCTTAAATTGCAGGGGGATTAAAATTAGGAGTGAGAATTGACGTCTATATGGGTAAAGTGGAGGTCATTGGTTAGGCCTCGTAATAGTAGTTTGGGAGGATGTTTGGGGATAAAACCTCCTTTGGAGTAAGTTAAAGAAAGGTTGGCAGGTAAGGAAGTGGAGCCACCAAATATAGGCACAATTCTAGAAATATAGGCACAATTCTAGAATTCAGACTAAAAGAATAGTACCTACTGGGTGACATGAAATCAATCTGGAATTTTTAAAGTTTCTAGGTTAGGGGTTCTTAAACTTTTAGTTTTAAGAACTGCTTTATACTTAAACATTATTAAAAAATTGAAAAAGTTTCTATTTATGTGGAATATAGTTATTGACATTTACCATATTAGAAATTAAAATGTAGTCATACTTAACTTTTTAATTAGTTTACTCTAAAGTAACCCTAATAAAGTATCACATATTAACAAAATATATTTTAATGAAAAAATAACTATATTTTCCAAAAAAGTGAGCAGAGTGGCATTATGTTATGGTTTTGCAAATCCCTTTAATGTCTGGCTTAATAGAAAAAAGATGGATTTTCATATCTGCTTCTGCATTCAATTTATTGTTATATGTTGTTTTGGTTAAAGTGTATGAAGAAATTAGGCCTCATACAGATACATTATCTTAATAGAGAACTTTTATTTACTTAAATATCTTTTCTGATAATTGTGGGTATACCATGTAGCCTATTCGCAGAGAATGAGAGTGAAAAATACAAATGCTATTTTTGTATCTTTATGAAAATAGTTTTGGATGCATGGGCACACTGAAAGAGGGTTGAGACCCTCAAGGGTTGCTAGACCACACTTAGAGAATCACTGAACATATTTCATATCTAACAACATCTGAGTTTTGTTTCGTATGAAATATTGCTATGATAACAAAAAGTGAAATGACAACAGTGGCAGAGAGCTTGTGAAAAGCTAAAATTCTTTTTCTTTTTTTCCAAAAGAACCCTAGCTATGTTATTAAAGAGAGTCTTGGAGGGTAAACCAGCTGTGAGGCTTGCTTTCTGGCAGTTCCCTCAATTGTTAATCAAAGGTGCCATGAGTTAGGTGGTAGCTGTTTTTAAAAGAGTATTTCCAATGAGTAGTGCTTTCTTATGATTAGTAATAGATTTTAGAAATTGTTATTTGTCCCTTTCCTTCAGCTATGAATTATTTTGGGGTGATAGATGGATATGTGCTAAAATGCATTAATTTTAATGTGTTTCTTTATTTTTCATGTCATAAAATTAGAGATGGAAGAGACTTCATGAGTTGTGCAGTCCATCACCCTGGCATAATATCATGGCTCTTTCCAGAAGGGCTTTGTCTGGCTCAGTTTTAAATGAGGAAAGCAATTATACTCCCATTAGTTCCCTTGGGAGACAACTCCATTTATTGATAGATCTCCATTTTGAAATGTTGCCCAACATCGAGCCCATGTTGGTTGAATACTATTAATCCTTGACTGGCTAAGCCCCATGTGGTAATCTCTAAGGGAGAACTTCACCCACTTTACTCCTCCAGTAAATCTTCTTCTAACGTGCAAGCAATCTGTGGACTATGAACTGTGCAATTGAATTGGCTATTGAGCACATTCTGTACACTGGCTTGTAAATTCTCCCCTGTTGAATCATCTGATAAAGAATTTATTATATAATTGTTGTAAGATTTTAAGCAAGGACATTTATTAAAAGGGCATTTGGGATTATCACATAGAGAACATAGGTGCAAGGGTGATCTCATCTGGTAAGAAAATTTTTACACACCAAAAGGAATGAAGTGTTACTGAGTTCTTCAATATGTTACTCAAACAATAGCCACAAGTGAATTTTTAGAGTCACTTTAGGAAAATGACTGTCATCTGAATAAGTGAATAAGCATCTTGGGAGTTTGTAGTAAGGATGATGAAATAATTTCATAAACTCTAAAAAATATAGAGAACACATTTCTATTTCTATATCAGAAAGTCAAGATGTAAATCTCTAGGGGCATGCTTTGAAAAAGGATAAAATTTTTTATGCCTTGAGGATATTCAGATGGCTTATTTAAACATTATTTTCTGTAGACATAAAGTTTGAATTCCCAGTTTCCTCATGCTTAGCTGATTGGGTGATGGCTTGGGAGACATTATACTGCCCCTTTTCCCCTTGCATTTAAAAATTTATTTCCATTTACTCTTATAAATCTAGATTATTTTGTCTTCACTTTGAAAGCAATTTCATCAAATCTCTTGATGTAGTCCAGTAAATACTCTCATGTAAAATGATCTCTATGTTATTTTTAAGAGGCAGGTTTCCCCCCTTAATGACATAACTTCATGACTTGTTCAAGTTAAGGAAAGGAAAGAGTGAAAAACTAGGAATGGAATTATGCTTATTTTATTATTCCAATGCTTAGCATTTGAGCAGAATGGGGTTGTTTTTTTGTTAATATAGAAGACTTTCTTTCTCTTCTTTCTCCTTTTCTCCTCCTGCATGGCTTCAGTTGGTTTTTGTTGTTGGTGTTCGTCTTTGAAGAAGACTGGATGAGTCAGTGAAGCAATAACGAAAAACAAGAGGTTGGAAGTTTCCTCTTCTCTGTCTCAGACAAATGAGTCAGAGCAAGCTCTCCACATGATGTTTGGGAAGAAATCCATGTCTTACGATGTATGTTAAAAGTGTAAACATAAAAATAAAGACAAATAAAAAAGCCAAAGGCGTTTTAGTGGCTACTAAAAGGGGTCTGTCTTTATTCAATGTGGCAAGGCAAATAACCCATTATCCTTTTAGAAATAGTGTTTTATCATCTTTAGGAATTATTTCACAAAAATTTATGGCAAAACCAATGCCAATACCTAGTAATTCCATTATACCTACAAACATTTATATTCTTCATCAGGAAATTAATTAGAAGTAGATGCTAAGATTACTAAACTATTAGAGAAATATTCAGAATTTTCTTTGTTATGTTAGAATCTGCAAAGACCTTACCTCAATCTGAAAAAAAGCTATTTGTTCTTGTTTTGCATAACTATTTCTATGAGTTTCAGAATAGACTACTGGTTATTTTATCTTGTAGCCACATTGCTGAGCTTGGTTCTCAGATGCTATACTAACTGCTAAGTTAGTTAAATTCTTTGCATCTCAGGGACACCCCATGTAAAATGGGGATATTAGTAACAATGTTCATAGGTTGCTGTGGTGATGATTAAATATGTTAATATATGTAAAGCACTTAGAACAGTTTCTGGCTCATGATAAAGCTTTGAAAATGCTATTATGATTATCATTATAATCATTAAAGGAACTTTATATCCTCTGTGTCATTGTTACCTTTCCATTAATTATATCATCAATAAGTATATTCAAATAATTTTTAACCCCCCCCCCCAGCCTCCTGTGGCTTTTATATTCCTGAAAACGTGGATTTCAGAAATAAATCTGTTGTAATGCAACTACCAGTCTAAAGTTGTAGTTTGCTAAATGGGGTGCTGGATAGACTTAAATCATCCATGCCCTCAGCCATTGGCTCATAAGCTTCCTTTTCACCAGAACTCCATTCTCCCCAAGATGGGTCATTGCAGCTTTTATCATAACATTCATTGTTTCTCATTCTTAGGGTTATCCCCACGATTATATAAACATGCTTTAAAATATCCCATCTTTAAAAAAATCTTCTCTCGACTCCAGATTCCCTTTTAGCTACTCCCCCATTTCTCTCTTTTCTTTATAGGAACTCCTCATGAGAATTGTTTAAACTCATTGTCTCTAATTCCCCTTTCATTTTTTCTTGCATTTGATCGAACCAGACTTTCACTCCCTCTGTTCACTTAAACTGCTCTTTTTAAGATCACCAAAGACCTCTGTGCAGCCGAGCCTGGTCAATCTCCCTTTGCTGTACTTGCCCGACTAGTAGCATGAGCACAGCCGCAGCTTACTCCCTCCACCTAGATCAACTTTATTCCTCCAGCTTCCATGTCCTCCTCACAAGCTGTTTCTTTTTTTCCTATTTCCCTAACTTCACCTTCTCAATCTAGTTTGTTAATTCCTCATTATCATCCCAATATTTAAAGGCTGGAATGCCCCAGTGTAGAGTCCCCAGAACTCTTCTCTAGATGCACTCACTTCGTTTTAAACTCATCTGGTCTTATGGCTTTAAGTACTGTTCATTTCCTCACGATTCTCAAATTTATATTCTGGGCCTGGACCTCTCCCTTGAACTTCAGACTCATCTATCCAGTTGCCAACTCAACTTTTCCATTGGATTTTCTAATGGAAATCTCAACAGAACATGCTGCAAACCAAACTCTTCATTTTCCTTGCAAAAGTGTTTCTCTCACTGTGTTTTCCATTAAGTTAATTGCAGATGCTCATTTTTCTGGGTTCTTAAGCCCAAAAGTTTATAATAATCCACCTTTGTATGTTATTTTTTTTCCTCATGCCCCATTTAATTGTTGGCTTTACTTTCAAAATATTTCAGAATTAGACCATTTCCTGCCGCTTCTGTCACTGTCATGCTGGGTCAAGCCACCATCCCCTGTCTGGATCATCGCCGTGCCCGCACTGCTCTTCTTCCTCACACTTTTGCCTCCCATTCTGCCAGCAGTGCCGTTGCTCCTCCATTCATTGGTATCTCATCCTACTCTAAGTAAAAATCAAAAGTCCTCATCAAATACTTTGTACAGCCTCAAAATGTGACCTGGCACTTAACAAATGGCAAAACAGAAAGACCAAAGACATAACTCCATCTCCCTCTTCTGTTCTTCTGCTGTGTCACTTCACTTAACCTTAAGAGAGGGAGTTCATGGCTGTTACAAGCTCCTCTGCCACATCTCAGCCTTTGGCACTGATGATGGAGTGAGGGTCAAAGGAAAAGGTAAACAAGAGAAGTTGGTAAAGGATTGAGATAGTGCAGGCAACAGGAGGATGTAAGTCGTGAGTAATGGGAAAACACCTTGTGTTTGTGCTCTCAAGGCACAGCCTAACTCAAGCTTTTATTGCCTAAAGGCCACTTAGGGTAACCTTATTTCAAGTTCTGGTGTGTAGTCTTGGCAGTAAACACACTTAAAAAGGTCATCGACTAAACTTAATTGTTGTTTTAAGGGATAAACAGATAGTATTAAGTTTGCACCAACAGATTTGATTTATAAATATAAGATATTAAGAAATGCATCTTTCAGAACAGAAATTTTCTAGCCCTTTTCTGTAGTAATGGAAGAAAGACAGGAGGCAGATGGCTGAGCACACACAAATTGAAGCGGGGCTGTTGAAGGCACAAAAGCTCTAAACAGAAGCAGACTATTTGTTAACATCCCCTATGAGTGCTGGGAAATGATTGTGATTGGTTTTCTGTAAATATGGGAGACCCTTTCTCCCATTTATCTTCTTAAAATAATTTTGAACAAACCATTTTCTCATTCAGTCTGGCATACTCAGAGCTCACATTGGGAGTAATTCAACAGAGATTTTAAAAAATTGTTGCTGAATTACTGTGTCTGAAAATTTGTATCACCTTATTGATGCAACAGCTTTTGTCCAAAGATTTCAAATGACGAAAGGGACAACATAAACTCATCTTTACTGGGCACACACCCTGTGCCAAGCATGAGACTAGAAGATTTGAAAACATCTCATTCTGTCCAGGCTCAGCAGATGTTCCTTTAAGTGGCCCCTACTCACCTCCTTCCCATTCTCCTCAGCCATGATTTCAGAACTTCCCTCCTCTGGTCAGACTGCTGGCCTTGTCATCTTTCCCCTCTCTTGAGAAATGACATTGCCTTCTACATTACGCAGAAAACAGAAAGTGTTGAAAGGAACTGTCTCAGTTCCCCAAAGTAATGACTTTGAATATACCTAACTCACCTTTTTTTGTTCTATTCTTTTCGAACATGGACACTCTCCAATCTCTACTGATTCCAAAACATCAACACCAAAGCTTGCTTAGGGGTCGTCCCTCCTTAAACAACAAGTGAACAAATAAATAATCAAACCCTCCTTTATGGCTCCTCTGTGTCTCTTTACTCCTCTTCAGAGCTAAACTTCTCAGTCCTCACTTCTCCACCTCCCTTCCTGTTGCTACCACTCTGTTTTCTCCAAGATCTGCCTCTGTGACTTCCTCCACTGGATTCTTCCCTGTCCTTATCTCCCTTGACTTCTGAGTGTCATTTGATCTGTAACCACTGTCCTCTTGAAGCATTCTCTTGCCTTGACTTCCAGGGTCATGTGTTCTATGGATATTCTGTCTCATCCTACATTGTGGAACTCTTTTTCTCTGCCTAGTTTGATGGCACATTGATATTTCTTGGGGTTCTGACCTAGAGCTTCTCTTTTCACTGCGTATCATCTCTGTAGCAGTCTCGCTTTAGTGAATGAATTTATATTATTACTTCTTTTTCTTTCTCCTTTTCTTACTAAAGTGTTTCATGTTCAGGGAGCCTACCTCTGCTATGGGTTTTGTAGATGCTTCTGGATACCTTCTTTGCATTAGTTAGAATTAATATTTCTTTCTGATTATGAGAACAAAAGTAGTATTTTCTTAGATGAGTTACAGTTTGGAGGACTCTCCTCAATTCCTCTAAGTCACCTTTTCTTTCGGTCTTATGTCATCTTCACCGTCTCCTCTTTCCTTGGGGCAGAGTTTATCTCATTGATTTATCACTTTAACTCTGTCACCCACCCTCTGTGTAGGTTACAAAAACAAGTAGGTTTCTGGCCACAGACCTGCTACACAACATGGCAGACAACTGTCTGTATGGATTTTTCAGAAGCATGAATTGAGGTTCTTTTTAAGAAGGATGTAGTGAAATGTTTGGCATAATAGACAAAGAACCCAGTGTGGCTAGAGAAAATGGGATGGGACAGGAGGATAGCTGGGTTGTAGTTTGAAACGTGTTATAACTTAATCTGTAGGAAGGAAGAATAATATATAAACTGGGCCCAAATCTTGAAAGATGAATGAATTTCTTATCAAGAATCTTATCAAGATATTACATACTGATAATAGCATTGGAATATTAATACTAAATTTAAAAAGTTAAGAAAAGATAAAAAGTTTATTAGTGGCTCTCACTATATCCGCATATTATGAGGAAGTTCAGTAGGTTTAACTCAGTATAGAAGTTATTCATTACATAATTTCCCTTTCGCAAAGCCTTGTCACAAGGGAACTATCAATAAAAAGCTATCGAAATAGAAATAAATGACCTTTTGAGCACATCATAAACACATAGGTCAGGTCTTCCATATAGAGGCTTACATTTTTCACACGTTGCCATATGTGCTTTGCAGTTTGTTCACCTCTTATTCAGAATCTTGGCCACCACTCAATTACTCTTACACCTGCCTAAAAAACCCTACACGCATACATGTTTTATATTTTTATGTACAGTGTATGTAGTTAGGCAAGCCAATATCCTTCCCCCCATTTCAAAGAGATTTAGTCACTTAGGGGAGGTCTACCTCCCATTCACTGTGCATGCAGAACTCAAATTAAAGCTAAGGTGAGTTATGTTTTCATGTCTTGGGAAGAATAAACTTCTTAAATGCTTTACAAGGCTTTTATTTTGGCACTGAGACAAGACCACCCTGTGTTCTCTGATTTGCTAAAATATGAAATCATTGATTCATTTTGGTTTGTGAAGAAATTTTTTTTTTTAATAGCAAAGAGAAGTAATCTCAGCATTGTGATGTATTCCATGC